ATATATATATACTTCCCTGCAAAGATTGAATTCAAATGGCATCCTACTTTCTCGTAAGAAAATTCAAACTCTACTACTGGATCAGTTACGGATTTTTTATTTATTTCCGGACGTCTCGAGTGACATCCATAACTCTTCTTCAGCGTCACAATTGAACAGAGAACCGATTCACTCTTATATACAAGTAACTAGAAAAACCGGTTAAACATCAAGGTCCGTAAGAAGCTTTATCATGTAAAAGAACGGTTCACTCAATATACAGGTAATTAGAACTAGAAAAACCTGTTCAACAACCGTAAGAGTCTTTGTCATGTAAGGAAGGTTCGTATGGTAAGAAATACAATAGGAAATGTTACTGTCCCTTGGGCTCAACAACCGGTTAATGAATCATCGAGATTTTCGGTATGTGGGTAGCTTAAGCGATTTTTGACATAATTAGATGAAGATGATGCAAATTATGATGGATCTAATTTGCATAATACACGAGGAACTTCTGTAAAACCTCTGTGTGCCATTATATGACTGAAAAATTGAGACATATGTAATTGAGAACACATGGATATCAGCAGATATTAATTCTGTACATGAAGGCCTAATTAATAATTTGCATAATTAATCAGAAAATTTCCCAATTCCATCATGGTATCTACTTGAAATTTCACTCCTGCAGCATTTGGAAGTTTAATGAAACTGAACATTATTTCACATAAATTATTCGAATCATGCCTGGTTTGGTTACTCTATTAAGAAATGTTACAATGGCCTTCTTTGTTATGATAAGAGTATCATTAGATGGATAATATTATAACTTTTATTATTTAATTTATGATATAATTCACAAAAGGCATTTGTATTATCTATGAAAAATATAATTCGTCAGTTGTAAGGTAAACATAATTTGGCATAAGGTATGAGGTTGTGGAACTCTAGTTACTAGTACTTTAAATCCTGTGTTATTAGTAAATCAAACTTCTTCAGGTGCAACAATACCTCATTTTGTCTGCTGTTTCATTTCAAAGAGTCTTGAAACGTACTAATTGTAAATTTTGTTAGTAAACTGTCTTAGCCACCCCTCCATGATGAACACTGCGTGGCTAATAGGACAACGCTAAAGTCATTTTGGCAGGGTTGGGTCATTATAAAGTATTACTGGCGTCTGCTCCTTAGCTGAATGAACTGCATGATGTGCTGTTTTTTTTTTCTTTCGGACCGATTGGAACTTTTATGCAGGGCTGGTTTGGTGGGAGAAACTTGGGAGTGTCTCAGGTGACCACGCCTTACCTATTGTGGCTGGATGATGATTACGTCTTTCATGAAGAAACAAAACTGGAGGTAATGGTGGACATCTTAGACAACAGCAACTTGGACGTGGTAAGATTTGTGAGCCTAAAAACGATTAAGGTGCAGTGGTAGATTGGAATGTTGGGATTAGATCGCTTCTGTCAGAAAGGTCTGTTTGTGTTAAAAACTAGAACACGGAATATTTCGGTACTTCGATATAGGAAGAATCAACGATGAGAAACATTTTGCAATAGAATGTAAACTATACAAAAAAGGGAGAGGAGATATTTATAATCTTATACAATCTATGTTCCCCTTCTTCATACATCTATGCTGTACATATAATTCTATATTTCTAATGAGATTAGACAAACCTTCTATATTTAAAAATACCTGTTCTTACCTTTTTACCATTACTAAGAAACGAGAAGAAACCGAATTTACTTGATTAAAGCTACTTGTCGATGTATATATCTAACGTTATCTGTATTCCATCCCTTTGTTGTAACCTGTACTTAACCCAGTGGGTACAATAAAGGTCTTCATTCATATAAAGAAATCGTTTAGAGCATTGGCCTTCGCTTCCGGGGTTTCTAGTATTACCGAGTCGACTTGAAGGACCGGGATGCCTGTTAAGGTCTTTCCTAGTGCAGATTTGGCATAAGTAAAGAACCGTCTGGTGTTGCCGGTCTCCACGTCGTTCACGTGATCCTCAATGTACACTGTCTCCGCCCTTCTTGTGAGATTGGTCACAAGATCTCTTCGGTAAGTGGCCCAGGCGTCCTCGGTGTTTAGTCGTTTTGCCCTGTAGTGCAGGCGGTGTTTTCTACGGATAGCGGCTCGTTATTGGAGTATATCTACGGCTTAGCTGTCCGGGTAGTCGAGATAAGCTTTTGAGGAATGTGCCGTTCGCATATGGCAATAAGCATGTTGTACCAAGAATCCCATATGTCATCCATAGCGTCATAGATAAGATATATAGATATATATATACAGTGCTCTCCTGTTATTTGCATGGACGATTTGTCAGGGAATTTTATTCCTATAACAGGTTTAGTCCAATAACCTTAGGAGAGTCCACACGACCGACAGGGAGGGGAGGTCAGTTGGTTATGGATGATACTGGGCTGGGGCCAATTGAAACAACCACAAACATGATGTTATTGGTATTTACATGTATATACTCACTTTCACCCACAACTACATACATGTACCATATTCTAATCTTCAAGTCGCATTCAGAAACTCATGATGAACAGGGCTAACAGATAGAAGATCAGACACATTCCACCTTCATACTGTCTACCCCTGTGTTGGGCAAAAGCTTACCAAACCTAAAACAACAGCCCAATCAAGGACACCAAAAAGGAACAAAGGACTTCTTCACACAATCATCATTGAGTGATTGGGGGTTCTCACCTGTCCAGAAGGAAGTGACAACAGAGAAAGTGTATGACAATGGAGGGTGCAGGGGTGATAATGAATGCATAACAATGGACTTCATGCAGATTTGCTGATGCGCAACAAATTACATGTATTTCTTTCACGTACTTCTGGGTCAGTGTGCCATTGACTTGGAAATATTTTAGTCCAATATCAGGTTAAAGTCATAACAGCTCATGCAATTATGCCATGCAATGTATAATGTAGTGAATGGGAAATGGTTTGGGTTTTCAGAATTTTATGCAGATCCCAGGTTTATGCCAATGTCAGTGATGCAAATAGTTGGTGAGCACTGTATATATATATCCCAGGGGGCTGTTGCGATGTCTTGACGAAGGGCCTCAATGTCAGCTTTGTCGTATAACCAAACTAGACGTTTACCGCTGTGCTGGCTTGCCTGTATGGTAAGCGCTGTGGCCGTTATTAGATGGTCGGAGTCACGAAGAGGCGCTAGTGTGCCCGTCTGGTAACACTTTGCTGGATGATAAGTCGCTATCAGGTCCAGCAGGTTCCCTCCCCGAGTCGGTTCATTAAGCACATGTTCCAGGCCAAGATTCAAGAAGATACCTATCCTACGTACAAAATATGAGCGGGTTTGGCCGACCCCTATCTTACGACCTCCCACCTAATTTGCCTGTTTTTCGCATGCAATTACTCTTAATATGATCAATTATTCAAATACATGACATGCACAATCTGAAAATTATGTGAATTATATCATGAAATATATAATAATATCCACCTTATGATAGTATTATCTTTACCAAAAAGGCCATTCTAACATTTCCTCATAAATTAAGCAAATGCGTTCCTGATTTGAATAATTTATGTTTAACAATGTTCACCTTCATTTAACTTTTAAATGCTGAAAGTGTGATATCCCTTACAGGTACCACTACGGTATTCCAAAACTCTTTGATGAAACCAATTTTAAGCCAATGTCTGAAACAAAAAAGACAGTTTGGCAATCCAAGATAACTTCTTACAATATTATTCCGATTGCATATCTGTTGTCTACCCTTCTAACTGTCTTGTCACTGTCTTAGCTAGGCCTCTATACATGGTACCCCTACCGTAGTTAGGGCTAGACTGTTTTACGTTAGCTGAATTTACTGGGTAATCTTATAGTACCAGCAAGGTCTTGAATGGCATTTTCCATATTCCCTCCTTTTTCTAATGTCAGGTTTCTGGAATTCGTGGCAAAGTACCACTCTATTTCACCAAGATGGCGATGATCCCCGGGGAAGACGATGATGACGGTGTTTGTATCTTACACGAGACACACAAGAATTATGGACAAGTACCAGGATTTCCAGACTGCTTTTTCGCAACTCGGGTGATGAACTTCTTCATGGGCAGAACGGATGGGATCCGGTCTGTAGGGTTTTATCCGGCGTACTCAAGAAAAGCAGACGAAGGTTAGATTTTCTTGCCTTTTCTTCCATTTGTATCTATGAAATTTAACTAAGTGGAAAACAACAGTAAGATAAAATAATTCTCTTAAAAATTTTGCCCATTTTGTCATGAAGTGTATGTTTTTTTAATGTTACAAATATCACGAGCAATATTTGTAGAGACGTTTCATTTTTACCTCCATGAAAAATGGAGGTATTGTTTTTGGCGCGTCTGTGTGTGTGTATGTGTGTGTGTGTGTGTTTGTGTTTCCGCACAATAACTTCAGAACGCCTTTATGGATTGTGATGATATTTGATACCTTGGTAGGTCTTGGGAAGACAAAGGTCAAGGTCAAATATGGGCCTTCTGGTGGCCGACCTTGGTACTGTAGCAGAACTTCCGGTTCTTTAATCTGTTGTCCTGAACATGCTATGGTCTTGATTTTTTTGGTGACAGATAGTCTATCCTGTCAGAAATAAGCGGTGTAAGTTTGGTCCCCCTAGCAGCTTGTTCTGGAACTGCAGGGGACCTTCGGGCGAAATCTTTAAAAGCCAATAAGTCCAGATACTAGGAACAACATATTTTCATCATTTTTGGTGTGAAGGTAGCTGAGAGAGAATTGTATATGATTAAATGCAAATTATGCAAATGAGGGTTTAATTGTATAATTAATGAGAAAATTTTATAATTACAGTGTTTATATAATAGTACTTTCATACGTGTAATGTATGTAATTTATGGCAGATGGAACATCAAAAGATATCAATTATGCAAATGATGACCTAATTTGCATAATGAATGGCAAAATTCTGTGACTTCTCATTGGTAAATGATGAGAATTTTATACCTTGTTACATGTGTAAGTTACTTAAAGGTTAACATCACTATGCCTATATTTTGTTAATGAAGAGGTCATTTGCATAATTATTGAGGACGTGTTGAAATAAATTATGACAAAGGAGAGGTATTTTACATTTAAGATATTGTAATTTGAATTTAGAAAACCATAAATTGTGCCAATGACGACCTTATTTCCATAGTCAATGAAACAAAAAACATTTACAAAAACTCATATATTTCATGGAGGTATGAAATCTCAGAATTCTTGTTAAGCAATATTTTCCTTTTTAGAAAAAGACTAGAATTGGACAATTTGAACAAAACATTCCACTTCTTCGGAATTCCAAAAGTGTGTACCAATATAAAGTATAGTAAAACCCTACAGGTTTTGTTTAGTTTTAAATGATATGCTATATCTAATAAAACGTTCATGTATGTAATAAGCAGTAAATTTCTTCGGAGATAGGTAATACATATTTATTGCACAGAATTTTACCTGGATGCATTGGGAAAGCTCCGGATGGCTGCTTGCAAGGGAGTTCATGTCCACCACAACCGAACATGGAGCAACGAGTACAACAAACACCGATGGGGCCAAGATATTAAAAACTACCATAAGATGCAGGATAGAATAATTTATTTCAGGAGCAACGCAAACTGTTGGCATTATGTGTGATATGAAATATAATGTTTAGTTACCTCCATTAAAAAGGGAGGTATTGTTTTTGTGCGTCTGTCTGTCTCTGTGTGTGTGTGTCTGTGTGTTTGTGTTCCCGCACATTTGTAGTCAGCATAACTTCATAACACCTCTATGGATTGTGATGATATTTGGTATGATGGTAAGTCTTAGGAAGACGAAGGTCAAGGTCAAGTATGGGCATCCCGGTGGATGGCCTTGGTACTAGCAGTGGGATGGCTATGGTCTTGACGTTTTGGTGACCGATAGCTTTTCCTGTCAGGAATAAGAGGTGTAAGTTTGTCCCCCTAGCAGCTTGTTCTGGAACTGCAGGTTAGTTTCTTGTAAAAAAACTTTCAAAGCCAATAAATCCAGATTGGAACAACGTATTTTCATCATTTTTGGCGTGTAGGTACCTGGGAGAGACCTGTACATGATTAAATGATGCAAATCGTGACTTAATTTGCATACTTAATGAGGAAATTCTATAATTACAGTGTTTTTTTAAATCTACTGCTATACATGTAATCTTTTCTATCTGTAGCAGGCGGAACATCAACAGATACCAATTATGCAAATGATGACCTAATTTGCAAAATTAATTTGAAAATTCCGTGTCTTCTTATTGGTGAATGATGGGAATTTTATACCTCGTGCCATGTGTAAGTTACTAAAAGGTTAGCACCAGTATGCATATATCATGTTAATGTAGAGGTTATTTGCTTAATTAATGAGGACATGTTAAAATGAAGTATGACAAAGCAAGCCCATATTTCATGGAGGTATGAGATCTCAGGACTCTTGTTTTAAATGATATGCTATATCTAATAAAAAGTTCATGTATGTAATAAGCAGTAAATTTCTTCGGAGATAGGTAATACATATTTATTGCACAGAATTTTACCTGGATGCATTGGGAAAGCTCCGGATGGCTGCTTGCAAGGGAGTTCATGTCCACCACAACCGAACATGGAGTGACTTGTACAACACACACCGATGGGGCAGAGATATTAAAAACTACCATAAGATGCAGGATAGGATAATTTATTTCAGGAGCAACGCAAACTGTTGGCATTTTGTGTGATATGAAATATTCACATCTCTACATGTCTGACGATCTTTTCGGCTGAGTTTATCATTTTTCTTCGCTTTCTCTTCTCACCGCTGTCCGAAATATACGAAATACGATCATTAAGTTTTCTCAAGCGCAGTTTCTAAATATTAAAAAGATAAAAAAAAAATTAACTTTTTTTCCCAAATAATCTTTATTGTAATTTCAAAGAATAAAGACAAAGGACATGTTCACATACAAGAAAATAAATACCCAGAGACATTTTGCAAACAATACATCAGTCTAACAATTTACCATATAGTGGACCCCATTTCAACATATGTTTATCCATTTTCCCACAGTTTTGTGCTATCACATATTGTAATTTATGAAAGTATTTAACATAACATGTAAAGCCCTTAATCGTGACCAACTTAAACTGTCTGTTTTTAGATAGAGAGAGTTTTAATATCAATTACAATATATTAAGGACAATAGGATGGTTAACTGAAACGCCTAGTATAATAATTCTGGGTGTGAGCTTAACTTCTGTATCAACATGTTGTTTTATCCAAAATTCTACATCCCCCAGAAATTTCAAAAGAGAGGTACAATGGCAAAAAATACGTAAAGGTGTTTCTTCTTCTAAATTACAACAGGAACATAATGAGTCCTCTGCTAAGTTCCATCTATATAACTTATTTTTGAGAGCAAGAAAGTTATGTAACAATTTATACTGAAATACTCTTACATAAGAATCAATACTTGTTTTATAAATTAAACTGTAGTACAAATCCCATTGTATTTGTATGTTAAAAAGATCTATCCAATATTCCTGGGCTTTACAATGGAAATCAACAAAGTTTCTTGCTACCAAATGGGATCTATATAATTCCTTATTAATCTTCGCACCTTTTAACCACCTTGAATATCTTATACCAGGCATAAGAACAGTTACACAATGTTAAATACCATAAATCATTTGTTTCCATTCCTGAGGAATACTTAATAACAACTGTAAATACATAAGCTCATTACAAAATCTTCCATATTTCTCAGTTAATGCTGTATATGATAAAAAATATCCATCCATATCCATCCAAGTCATTAATAAAGAGTATTTTCCTTTGGCTGAAGGTCTTCCAAAAAAAAGGGTAAACCATTAATAATTATATTTGAATTAAACCACAGCAGGGTTGCAATATCTTATCTACTTTCTGTAACTTTCTATTACAATTATCTTCAATAAGTGTTCTCATATATTTGGGAATATGAATTCCCAATCGATCAACAGATCCATCTGACCATTTGACAGGAAAAGTACAAGGTAATTGAAAATCCGTATCTTTTAGTGGCCCCAATCTTAAAATTATGCATTTGTCAAAATTTGGAATCAAACCAGAAATTCTGGAAACGTTTTTTTTTTAAATCAATACACAAAGCCTCCAAAGTACTTTGAGAAGGCCTAAGAGTAAAATTTGTATTGTCGGCAAATTGCGATAATTTGCTTTTTATGTCTCCACACTCTAGACCTTCAATAAAGACATTCGCCCTGATTCTAATTGCCAACAATTCTACTGCTAAAATGAACAATAAGGTGACAAAGGACAACCTTGTCTTAACCCCCTATAAAGCCTAAATGGTTCAGACAAAAAACCTAAATTACTAATTCTGCTAGTTATATTGGTATACATAATGGAAATCCAACGCACTAAGGATTCGCCAAGGCCAAAAATATTCAATACCTCTATCACAAACTCAATTCTAATTTTATCGAAGTTTTAAGACTTCGTCAAAGGGATGCAAGGAAGAATAAAATTTCACCTCTTCACATAAAATGTCAGAAGGATCCAAAATATATTTTCCATCCTGCAGAACAATCTTAGAAACATTTTTTTTGTTTTGTTTCGATTTAGCAGGTTAAAGAAATGTTTAGTCGGTTTTTCACCTAACTGCATCCATTTAGCACGAGAGTGCAACATATTTTTTTGTCTTTTTTCCTCGTAAACAGTTTCAAGTTCCATCTCTTTTTGTTTTAATTCTTCTAACATATAGAGGGGAGGAGAACTCAAACTATCAATTTTGTTTTGCAAGTTACATAATTCACCCTGTTATCTCCTTTCCTTCTTTAACCATTGTTTTCTTCTGATGGATGCATATTTTATGCAGTGACCCCGAAAGGCACACTTAAATGAGTCCCATATAATTCTGGGTTCTGCTGATCCTTTGTTGAAAAGAAAAAACTCTTCAATAAATTTTCTTGTATCCTTAAGGAAAGTATTATCCTTCAATAAACTTGAATCAAATTTCCAATATCCAGGTCCATATTGTAAAACTCCAGGTAGAATTGTTAAGGATATTAATCTATGATCTGATTTAAAAGTTTCTTCTATATCAGTTTTTGTGACTTTTGAAAACAACGCAAAAGAAATTAGAAAATAGTCCAGGCGACTAGCCTGTTCTTGTCTCCTCCATGTGTATCTAATGGTATCAGGATTATTTACACGCCATACATCAACTAAATCAAAGGTGGCAGACAATTCACAGATTGCTTGTAAAGCACGAGGGTGATTGTTTAATACATGCTGTCCTGATCTATCTTTTTTAACATCCAGCACCGT